AGACACAAGTCAGGTAACTGGTGATGAGAAAGAACCCCTAAATAGTTTTGCAGCAATGAACACTAGTGGAGGCAAGGATAAATCAAAGTAAGATTCAGGTGAAGAAAGTAAGGGTTTGGTGGCAACTCAAAATTCTTCTCTTCAGAATCTAACTAGCCAGAATCAAAGTGGAAGAGCTTCTTAAGGTGGTTAGATCTTAAGAACATTTTTGAAGGAAATAAGTACATACTTTATCAAAACCTGTACTGTAGGGCTCTTACCGGAAAACAGCTACAGAAATACATTAAGCACTTGAAACTTGTTAATTTTGAGCTCATATTGGATTTGATCTTAATTCCGCACTTAAGTATGTTTGGACGAGAGAAGTCTTAGGATGAATGACTTCACAAAGAGACCTTTTTATTACACCTCTTCTCACCACTACTATTTAGACCAAAAAATCAGGCATAAGATGGTTTCAAATTTCCACTCTTTTACATCATCCATTGGAAATATTTTTCATCTAATTTTATTTTAATGATTTTGGTTATCACCACAACATTAAAAAAATATAAGCAAGAATCTCAAAATGCATGTCTATACATTTATTTGTCATAATTTTCTTAAGATAGTTTTTAATCTATATTTTTAATCCTTTTATATGCTCATATCTTTGAAAAAAATGTACTAACGAAAAAAGTCATACATAATTTTTAAAACTTTTTGATTTTACTTAAATCTCAAATTCTTATTTTTTATTTTAAAAATATTTTTAATTTTAATTTCATTATAAAAAAGTGTAAGACTCTTAGACTATCTATAATGGCAAAATTATTCAACATTTATTTTTCTCATTTTTTACACTCCACATCATCTTCTCTCTCTTCCACCTAATAATTCAATACTCATTCAACTTTTACTCGGTACAATGGTTTTGTTTAATAAAATTCAACACCTTACCCCATCACTTTAATTTCATATTTTTATTTTCTTTTTTATGTTTTTGTTTTTTTTGATTATATATTAATAATAATTATCAATTAAAATTAAATTAAAATAATTAAGAGTTAAATATTTTTTTTAATTTAAAAACTTATTTTATTTTTTTTCTCTAATTTTATATCCGTAATTACAAAAAACTTAAAATGCAATACAATACACACAACACACTTAAAATGAAACACACATAACTTAATTAGTACAATAGACTCAACTCACAAATAATCTATTTAATCACGAAACATTCCAAACTTTACCCATATATGTTTGACTAGATTTGCTTGCAATTCGTGATGTACATTTGAATCACGCATCACAGATCTAGCACGCACGTTTAATGTCCTTCCGACATCCCTCCTGATATTTTGCAAATAACTTATCTGGTTCACTTTGAGGAAGTCTAATTTATTTGATGAAAGTCGGATAAGAAGGGTAGATACCGTCAGCAAGATAGTATGTCATATTATACGGATGTTGATTCACAAAGAAGTTCACTCTTGGAGTTTTTCCCTGTTCAACATCATCAAACACGGATGAACAGTCTAGAACGCTTATATCATTCAATGTGCCCGGACATCCAAAGAAGGCATTGCCAAATCCATAGATCATAAGTTGCAACTGCTTCAAGAATAACAATGGTGGTTCCCTTATCTCCCAGAGTAAATTGACATTCCCATGATGTAGGTCAATTTTTCCATTCCTAATACTTGCAATCAATACTCCCAATCATCCCCAGGAACCCCCACATTTCACTAACATGTAGTATTCTTTACAGGTCATCTTGAGTTGGGGCTCTGAGATACACTGGCTCATACAATTGTATAATTCTTTTACAGAATCTACGCAAGCACTATAATGTTGTTGTACCTCCTATTTTAATGTATTCATCGACCGCATTGACCGCCACACCATATGCTAACATTCGCATGGCAGTGGTACATTTTGCTAATGGAGATATACCTTCTTTTTTGGTTGCGTCAACTCTTTGGGTGAAGTAGTTGTCACTGCTAGATAGTTCCCCAACAATCCTAAGGAACACATGTTTTCGCATCCGGAATCGCCAACGAAACATTGCATTGTCATATGTAGATTGGTTTGCAAAGTAGTCTTCTATTAGTCTTTGGTTTGCCGCTCCATGATCTCTATTGAGATATTTTCTCTTAACATTAAGCGTATATCCTTCCTCTATTTGGTTTCGTCGCTCCCTGAACCAATTGACGATATACCTCTCTTTGATTTTAGACTGCCTTTTGTAAGCTTCGATATCAAAGGGAAATTCTGAAGGATCCATTAATGTTTTTTAGTAATCTGAGATTTTTGATATTGGTACATTAATGGAAGAATGAGTCTCCATTTATAAGATTAGTAATATCATATTTTTTTGGTATTGGTACATCAATAATATATAAGAAACTAAGTGATAAAATAGAAATCAATATCTTGATAATATAGATAATAGTAGACAAGAAACAAAATAATAATAGAAATCAATATATTGATAATATAGATAATAGTAGACAAGAAACTAAGTTACAAAATAGAAATCAATGTCTTGATAATATAAATAATAGTAGACAAGAAACAAAATGACAAAATAGAAATCAATATCTTGATAATATAGATAATAGTAGACAAGAAACTAAGTGACAAAATAGAAATCAATGTCTTGATAATATAAATAATAGTATACAAGAAACAAAATGACAAAATAGAAATCAACATCTTGATAATATATATAATAGTAGTCAAGAAAATAAGTGACAAAATAGAAATTAATGTCTTGATAATATAAATAATAGTAGACAAGAAATAAAATGACAAAATAGAAATCAATATTTTGATAATATAGATAATAGTAGACAAGAAACTAAGTGATAAACAATGTCTTGATAATATAGATAATAGTAGACAAGAAACTAAGTGACAAACAATGTCTTGATGATATAGATAATAGTAGACAAGAAACTAAGTGACAAACAATGTCTTGATAATATAGATAATAGTAGACAAGAAACAAAATGACAAAATAGAAAATAGTAGATAAGAAACAAAATCCAAACAATGACTTGACAATGACTTGATAAAGACTTGATAATATAGGAAATAGTAGATAAGAAACAAAATACAAACAATGACTTAACAATATTTAATTTCCAAACAGACCGCGACCCAACTTTTCCAACAACTCTTTGCTCCAGTCATCAAGATGCTCCTTTGAACTTAGCTTCATAAACATCTTCATCTTCTTAGCCTCAGCACTTTCTTTCAATAATTGGTTAGCTTCCTCTTGCCTCATGGCTATTTTGTCCAATCGTTCCAACTCTTTCTCCTTAAATTGTTTGAATTCATTCCATTCTTCATTGACTGATTCCAAGGCTACACCATTGCTTTTTTTTTTTGCTGCATCCCTCCCCATTGGGCGAGCACTAGATTCTACGGAGTTGGAATCACTTGCATCACTCTCGTGGGCTCTCTTAGATCCACTACCTACAAATCCACTATTTCCTCCTACCTGACTACCATAACGTGGTTGATCACGGAGAGCGAGTCATTCTAACATTAAAATGAAATGTCCACTCTTACCACTTGAATATAATTCATACGCTTTTGCCAATACATCATTCTCCGACCACCCACATTTTTGCATACACTTAATGTTATCATAAGTGTCTGTCCATTTATTAAGTATTTTGTTCATGTAGTTGTAATGATTTCTACATGCAGCTCCATCACGGGGAGAATCAAATGAGCAATGCTCATTACAGTAATAAGCAATTTTACCCCAATATGAATCACTTTTTTGATTTCTCCCAACAACACTGTCTGTTATTTAATCCACCCACTAATTAGAACCAAATTTTGATCAGTGATCCATTTGGGGCTTTTCCAACGAACAGGAGTTGAATCCTCTGCATTTAGAGTGACTCCATGACCACCGCTCATGCCACCAAGAGTCGTTTGTGTAGAAAAATCAGGAAATTCATCAAGTCCAACATTAAGAACATATTCATTTCCCATTGGAGTAGAAGAATAATAAGGTGGTGTTTGAGATGAATATGACATCATAGATCCATAATATGGACGATAGTTTGGATTTGATGACAACATTATGAAATTTAGTATATTTTGGGGACCTTGTTGGTTGGAAGATTGATTTTTGAAATATATAGTTGGAATTTGAGTAGTTGAAAGGATAATTAGTAGAATTTTGAGTGTTAAGAAGGTTATTGTTGGGATTCATTTCACTAAAAAATTGTTTAGAGCTACAAACAATAATTTATTGGAGGCTAAATAGAAAAATTAGAGAGAAAAAATAGATTTTTTTCTTTATCCAAATCAAATGAACCAAAACTCTATTTATAGACAAAAAAAAAAGATGAATTTCGATAAAAATAAAAATAAATAAAAAATTGATTTTCTATAAAATAATCGACTCCAAATAATTTAGGTGAGATAAAAATATAAACAATCACAACAATCAATTATATTTTGCAAAATATTATAAGTGATCCCACTCATTTCTCATTCAACATGAATGTTTTCAACACAAATTAATTCATGTCACATTCAACACCTTATTCAATAATCCATTAGAACAATTCAACTATTAAAAAATTTATTCAACACCCTCATTACAAATAGTCTAAGTGAAAAATTATTTGTGACGAAGAAACTGCAAAATATAATAGGTCAAGTATGATGTATTCTAAAAATAATAAAAAATATATTTTTAATTGATTTAATTGTACATTTGACCATTCTATTTTATCATAAACTTGTACATTTGAGAAAATAATAATTTTTTCCAAAGTGGTGATTTAATGCCTAAATTAAAAATTTGAAAAGAAAATACAAGGTTAAATTTTTAAGAGTTAATTAGAAGTGATGATTATAGGAGTATTTTGTTTTTGTTTGGGTCTAATAATAGTTCATTGAATTTTCGGGATCTATAGATTCATTCTCAGTTGTTTATCATAAACCCTAAAAACCCTGCACTTGCGTTTGCGGTGTTGTGTTGTTCAATGGCACGCTTGCTCCGTTCCCTCAGAAAAACCCTAACCCTAAACCCCCAATTTCACATTCATCAACTACGACTATGCATTTCCCGAAGAAGTTACATCTCCGAAATGCGCAAAGAAGCTTTCGAAGGAAACATTTCCAGACTCCTTCGCAACGAAATCCAACACGAGATTCAATCCTCTTCTTCTTCCAAACCCGTACGTCTTTTCCCCTTTTCGTATTTTCTGGTTTTGATTCCGAAAACAAGTGAAAATGTATATGATGTTTTTCTTTTTAAGATATAGGTGCCGTTACTTTTTTAATCTACAAGGTTTCATTTATAGATCTTTTTTCTCCGTAATTATCTCTTCAATTAGCATTGTTTGGTGAAATCCTCTAGTTTTCTTCGTTTCATTTATGTCAATAATAAGGGCCATGTTCTTGTTTTGCAGCCTGCCAACAAGTTTGGTTCCTTTTTAGTGGATGGTCGACCCGGTGAGCGATGGATTACATTGAATAGACAATTTTCCGACGAGAATATTAAAGTTGAAGTCACCATGTTTGACGGATCCGCTCCTGCTCCGAAAGCAAGTGGTGGTGTGGCTAATGCAGATGAAGTGCAGCTACACATTACATTAATCGTCAATATCTCTAAGGGAGATCACGGAGTGCTGGAAATAATGTGCTCTGCTTGGCCAGACAGTATAGAGATAAAAAGGCTGTTTGTTCGTGCCGACAAAAATACGCCAGCTGAGCCCTATGCTGGTCCCGACTTTGAGTAAGTTTACTTACTCATTAGTGTTGTTAAATAGTGGCTGTAGCACTTCAATATAGTGGAGTTTGAACAAATTACTATTGTTCTGTGATATGCTATTTAGTACAAAATATCGTCAAATAGAAACACTATAGCAGCACATAGCACTGTCGCATCGCATAGCAAAAGTTGAACAAACTGCTATTTTCTACAATAAGCAATTGACAACACCACTTACAATTTTGATTGATAGATAGATTTAGATTTGTGTTTGTACTTCTTGATGATGTTTCTTTTACAGGGAATTGGATGATGAGTTGCAGGATGGCCTTTATGATTTCTTGGATGCGAGGGGTATAGATAATAAACTGGCCACTTACTTGCATCAGTACATGAAACACAAGGATAAAACAGAGCTAATAGGATGGATGGAGAAGGTTAATTCTTTTATTGAAAGGAAATGATGCATTTAAATTTATAAATGTTCTAGATGAGATAAACTATGAGATCATATCTCTTGTCTGTTTTGTCAATGAAGTTTATTTCAAAGAAAATAAGTACTTATTTTTTGTTAACATCTTTGGAATAGTTGTTGTTAGTAGAAATTGTATAACGTAAATAGGAAATGACCATATCATATTTATGGTTTTTGCCGGGGATCCCCCTCTCCCTTTGAAGAAAGAGTGAAAACATGTCGGGCAGCATCTTAAATGGAAGATTTTATTACTCTTCGTAAAAATTTATTGTTTCATTTGTGTTTATTAGTATGATGTCTGCTTTACACTCTATGAACAGTGACTAACATTGTTCTGGGAACAATTGACTAGTAGCAGCCAGAAGCCTAATAAGGGCTGTAATTATTTTGAGCTTGTTTCAAATTAATGGCTGACAGGACAAGACTCCACTAATGTGTGGTAAAGTGTATCCACCTTGATTTAATTGACAAAACATAAATTCATGTTGCGAGTCTGTGACTCTGTTTTGTTGTTATGCAGGTGTTGTACTTATGTGTAACAAACTCAAATTACATGTGGATCTTAAAGGATTAAAATTTTGATGCGATTCATTTCACATACATGCACACATCAAATAAATTTTCCTTGAAGTATAGGTGCAGTTACTTTTTTAATCTAAAATGTTGCATTTTAAATCTTTTTTCCCCATAATTATTGCTCTAGTGAAATGATAAAAATAAGCTGAAATTTTTAGAGTGAAAGGAGGATGTTTAGCAGTAGAGCAAGGTGGTTGCACTTTGTTGTGCAATTCAAGCTTTTTCCAACAACATCATTATGCAACAAATCTGCTCAGAGAAGTTCCTTTTGTACTTCGGCAAAGAACGGCAACAACATCAACAGCAAGGACATCATCACTGATGAAAGGTATCGGCAGCTCGAAAATCTCGACATGATGACTGCCATCAAGATTCTTTTCACTGATCCCCCAAAGAAGAGAAAGTTTGGGTATTTATCCCCTTCTAATCTCTCTTGCATTTTGTTAAACGTCTTCACTACATCCACAATCTTCAACTATTTTTTTTAATATTTATGATTAAATAACCATCTACCATGTTTATGCTTATAGATAACCAAAATTATAAATAGAAATTCTTACTTTGCATCTCTGTCTTTCTTGATCAGGTTTGATTTTCATCTTGTGCAATTTTTCTTTGCCTGCATGCCTTCCTTGGGTATGATCACATATTTGATGTTGTCCTCCAATCATTGAACTTGAGCTTAATATTATTCTTAGTATTTTCTAAAAAAATCTACTGCCAACATCTAGCTACAAACATTTTTTCCTTTACTGCTGCAGCTGTATATTTGGTGGCACAGTATGCTCGTTATGAAATAAGAACAATGGAAGCGGTATGTTTTGTTTCCCTTTGTAATAGTAATAATATAAGTGTTTTTCTTGTGCATTATAGAAATGTCGATTTGATGCATAATTGCATATGATATCTAGATCATCTTATCACTTATGTCTCTTTGCGTTGAACCATATCAGTTCAGGGATCCATCTTAATGTCCTGTTTAAGGAACCGTTTAGATTTGTAACTTCAGTGCAACAAAAGTTTTGTTAGAGATATATGGGGTTCCACTTGTCTACTAATGCCATTTATTAAGAATGTGTTATGTCTTGGATTATACTTACTTTCTTGATGGTAATTTTTGAATACCTATTTGACCTTGTATGTGTTAGAATACTCGGACAAAGAATAATGTCATCTTCTAGTGTTGATTTTTCTTCTTGATAATGGCCTTTCTCCGAATTAATTCACAGGACGTGGAGCAGAAACGAAAGAAAAAGGAAGAAGAAGAAGCAAAGGAAGTAGAAAAAGAATTGGAACTAAATCCTCCTGAGGAAAAGGAAGCAAATCCGCAGCTGTCAGAGGTGAATGAGAGACTTGACAAACTTGAAGAGACTATAAAGGAGATTGCTCTTGAAACAAAGAAGCAATCACGCAGTAACATAAACTCAAATCAGGTAACGGGTGATGATAAAGAACCCCTAAATAGTTCTGCACTAATGAACACTACTGGAGGCAAGGATAATTCGAAGTCAGAATTAGGTGAAGAAAGTAAGGGTTCAGTGGCAACTCCAAATTCTTCTCTTCAGAATCCAACAAGCCAGAATTAAAGCGGAAGGACTTCTTAAGGTTGTTGATCTTAAGAATATTTTTAAAGGAAATAAGTACATAATTTATCAAAAGCAGTACTGTGCAGGGCTCTTACTGTGGAATTGAAACTTGTTAAAACTTTGAGCTCATATTGGATTTGATTTTAACTCCACATTTAAGTATATTTGGGTGAGAAAAATCTTAAGATGAATGAAAGACCTTTTTGTTACACTTCTTTTCACCACTACTATTTTGGTTTTTGAGCAAAAAGATTAGACAAAATGATGTTTTCTTCAAATTTCAATTCTTTTACAACATGAAGTGAAATAATCCATCAAAATTATTTTTCATCTAAATTTATTTTAACGATTTGGTTATCTCAATAACAACATAAAAAAAAAAAAAAATCCAAAAGGCATGTTGATCTATTTTTTTTTTTTTCACAATTTTTTAAAGATAGTTTCTTAATCTATTTTTTATTCTTTTACATGCTCAAACGAATCTCTCTACAAATATACTACTAAAAAGAGTGTTAGAACGGTTGTTTGTGATAAAGAAATCACTAAATATAAGTTAAGTATGATGTATTTTTAAAAACAATAAGATATTTATTTTAATTTAATTTAATTTAATTGTATTTTTGACTATTTTATTTTATTATGTTAACAAAAATAATTATCTGCTTTTTTTTAATGGAATTTTTTAATCTTGTGATTATGGCTAATTTTATAATTTTAACCCGAACTTTACTTTTTAACCTTTGAAAATGATTTTTTTTTAATATCATTAAAAAGAAAACACAATTAATAAGATTACAATATTTTTAATTTTTTCTACTATTTGGTCGCAAATTTTTTTGAATTGAGATTAAATTTACATCTAATGGGATAATTAACTAAGTAAAAACTATATATTTTTTTATTTATAAATTTAGTAAAATGGGATCAAATTGCACATCATTTCAAGAATTAATTTGCATAAATTTTAATCATAAATTCATGTTGCGAGTCTGTGACTCTGTTTTGTTGTTATGCATGTGTTGTACCTATGTGTAGCAAACTCAAATTACATGCGGATCTTATATGATTAAAATTTTGATGCGATTCATTTTACATACATGCACACATCAAATCAATTTTCCTTGAAGTATAATGTTCAAATACTCTCAGTTATGAACTATTCTTTCCTGTCTCCGAACCGATTCATAGAATCATGTATGGCTTGATCAATGGTAATGCTATCTCCACCCCTTCTTTTGAGATTCTTTCACAATTTCCTTTAATTATTTTTTAAAATTTACCATAATACCTTGAATTGTAGCACACACAACATTTTCATTCACACCCTCCATTCAAAAAACTATCAACTCATGTCTCCTCTTGACAATTTTTCTGACGACAACCAACTACCCCTTTACTAACCACCATCACTTAGACAAATAACCCTAATCTAGTGACTATCATTCTTTGTCCTTGTCTTCCATGTGTCCTTTTTTTTTAAATATTTTTTATTCATTGAGAATTCAAAGCCAATTTTTTGAATATATACGTATAGTTCAAATGCAATTGTATAAAAGATGGTATAAAATAGATTTAAGTGATTTAAATAGGTAGATAGAAGATTTGTAAATTTTGTGGTAAAGAGAGTAGATCAAATGAAAGTAAGTCAAACAATTAGAGATAGAAGAAAATTTAAAAAAATTATATGAGAAATTTTTAAGAAAGATCTCAAGGTTAATGATTTGGATATAAATATAATTTTAGATAGAGTATTATGACAAAAGTCGACCCATGTAATCGGCCATCAGTTAGTGAGATAAGATGATTGTTATTACCATTCAAATGCAAACATACAAATTTCAAATATATTGTGAAAAACTCTTTTCTAAATTTCTGTTATATTTTTTGTTTTTTTATTAAAGATCATAATTATGTATACTGGATCTCTATTATGAAATCAATTTACAATATTAAAATAATCAACAATTTTCTGTCTCTTAAAAGTATAATTTTTCATGTTGTGAATTTCCATAACTAAGAGGTATATTGAATAACACATACTTGAATCCTGTAGTGTTTTGGTGCATGGTAGAATTGTATACAAGACTAGTAACATGCTTAGAATGAATCCTTACTACAGTTTTGTGAATAGAGTAATCTTGAAAGGACCAGTTAGATTCAGGTGAACTTAGCCTAGTAAAAAAGTCTTCAATAGAAAAATAATTAACTTAAACCATAAATTTTGCCGACATGAGTTTCTTTAGAGAAATAGAGATGAAGTGATTATGACTTGACTTATTTTGTTGAAAGCCCACTAAGCTATATATAATATAATATAATAATAGTTGTTAAAATATATCATCTGATATATGCTACTATTTTGTTAGAATCAATGCATACAACCAGTGATACCAAAGTATTGGTAGAATAGAATAAGAAAAACATGCACTGTTTCACTAGCCTAACTAAGATGTTGATGTTAAAACTCAAGTTCCATGTACTATCTATTATTGAAGGTGAGGACATACAATCTCAAATTTGATTATTCATATAAAATCTTGATGAACAAGAACCATATTTTGCTTCAAATGATGATAGCTCCTTGTGTTTGTTCTTTTGTGATTCTTTCTTAGTTAGGAGGCAAAATGAATATTTTATTGGATGAATGGTGAAAGACTTAGGTATGCTACCACAAGTAAAATAGACAGCTCAACTAAAGTACTGCTTATGGCAATAAAAATATCAAACTCATAATCCATGTTAGGAAACATTCTTAGATCTTCCAGATTATAATTAACTCTCATAATGACTAGACTTTCAGTGCTTTTGAACTGAATTTAATCATAATAGTATTTGTGTTCCATGATTAACATGAGATTAGTGTAAACCTCATGTCGATATGGACCTACACAAATTTGAAGTGTATATGAGATATCATTAGTTGAGAAATCAATGTTCAAGATTTTAATCAATATAAACATCACTTTTAATTTTATATTAATTATATTTTTTCAATTGTATTTCTAAGGAATATTACATGCATCACTTTTAGTTTAATAATATTCTACTTTGCATTTAATATTGATAAATACTACCCCATCTCTAAATATAAAGATCCGTAGATTAAATTACGCTAATTAAGAAAGTTGGTTAGATTATTAAATTTATTAATTATTTATACAAATTTGTAAGTATAATCTTAGAAGAGAGAAATAATTAATATTTATACAAGTGTATTTATTACAAATTATAGAAAAAAATCTATTATAAATATATAAAATGTAAAGTACTTAAAAATTCTATGTATAACCTTCTAACTTCAGGTACTAACTTTTCTGATTTAAGGGTTAAAAATGTCTTATTAAACACTTGCTTCAATTATATTTATTTAGTATTTATTGCAGCTCATGTGTCATGTCTACATTTTTTTCATATTGATTACTGTTCTGGACTGGGCCCGGCTGGCCCAAAAGCAATGGTAAAGGTCCAGTCCAAACGGTCTTGCGAAGGGTCACGCCGACCAAAAGGTACATCCTTGCCCGACATCTCCTGCTAGTACGCCGTCCTCGACTCCACGCTAACCTGCTCGACCTCAGCTCGAGCACTCCTCATAGACAGACTCTATCCACTACGCCATCACCTGGATCCCGAAAAGACCGCGTCCTCGTCCGTCCGTACTTCACGCAGAACATCCAAGAAGGGGGCCACGTGCGGGTCCCCACTACGCACGTAGAACCTGGCAGTTCCTCCATTGGGCCAAACCTGCCCGGCCCAATGAAGGAACCTTGGCCCAGCGCTGGGGGCTATAAATACCCTCTGTTCCCAGAGGGTCAGGTATTCATTCTTTTACCCACACTCATACTATTGCCTGCTCGTGCTCTTACTTACTTCAGCATCAGAGTGCTTTGTAGGTACCCCCCACCTCGTTCAAAACTTCAGCTCGGAGCCAGCCGTGACGGTCCAAGTCTGATCAAGTTAGATCAGTGGCGCCGTCTGTGGGAAACTATAGCTTCCTTGTCTTGCAAAACTCAAAGACCAAAGCTCAAATTCAACTACCGCTGTCATGGCTGATCAAGCTCGCGATGAGCAGAACGTCCGCGTCGTCGACACTAACAACGGCACCGCGGACAAAAACGGACACCTTGATAACGCCGGCAACCCCGGCCACAACACCATTCCTGCGACGACTGCCCCCGGAACTTCCACCTACCGGGACAGAGCTATTGCCTCATCTTCCTCGGTCCCTCCGCCACTCGAAGATGACCCGGCAGCCCTCACAAACTACAGGGCTGCCCTGTTCCAGGAAGTCCCCGTCCCCGCCGGGGTGGATGCCACAACTCAAGCGCTGTTCGCAGTGATTAATCAAACAAACTATCTCATCTTCGCCCAAGGAGAGAGACTAAGGGCGCTAGAAGACGATCGAAGACCCCCGAGGAGGCATCAGAGGCCCCATACTCCCCCTCCTCGAGTGACTGAAACCCAACTCCCGTCTCCCCCGCGGAGATAATACAGAGAAATCTCTCGAAGCCAATCACCCCGACCAAAGGGGAAACAGCCTCATTTGGAGAGGCAACCCATTATTCAAGCCGGAGAGCCCAGTCGCGACCCGGCGAGACAAGAAAGAAGGCACTCCGGAGACAGCGTGTAAAATTCAACCACCGAGCATCCCGCTCGAGAGAGACTCAGCACGATCTGGACCGTCGTGCTAGACAGTATTACAGGTCCCCATCTCTGTCTCCGGAGAGAAGCGACGAGGACGACCCCCGCGGTCCCTTATCGCAAGCTATTATGGAAGCACCCATCCCCCCGGGCATGGAGAAGCCCTCACACTTGAAGGAGTACGATGGAGTCGCGGACCCGGTCGACCATATAGACGGGTTCGAGGCTATGCTGCATTACCATAATGTCGGGGGGCCCATCAAATGCCGACTATTCCCCACGACTCCCAGGAAGGCGGCAATGGACTGGTACAAAGGGCTCGCCCCGAGCTCAATCACCTCGTGGCGAAACCTGAAGAACCA